CCCCAAAACCCCAAAACCCCAAAACCCCTTCACTCTCAATTTCTAGAAATAAATCTAAACTTTAAGTTATAATTAAGGGACTTAGTTCAAGATTTGTGTAGAGTATTCATTGTTTGTCTGTTTACTGTCGTGGTAGTCATTCTTAATGAAGAGAATGTGAAGGTCTTGTTCTTTTCTACTATTCTCCTGTAGTCGTCTTGCTTTTTAAGCTACTTGCTCATGGTCTCCTTTGCCTTGTCTTCCCCAACGATAGCAGAAAGTACAACCTCTTGATTGATTTTAAATCTCTTTTAGTAATTATTAAGCATAAACTCCTTTCCTATTCTTTCGAGAGCCTCTTATTTAAGTCTCCTCATTTTAGTCTTAAGTCCAGAATATCTCTTCTCGAGATTGACTATTTCAATTTCCAGAGTTTTCTAGTCTATCTTGGCAAATTATTTCTGCATCCTATCTATGTCAATCAAAGACTCCCTTCTCTGATAGGATGAGACTCCTTCAACAACCAATGGAGATTAAACAAATTTTTGAGATGATTGTAGTTAAACTGTTTCCTCCTCACTTATTTCCTAACTGCTAATCTCATGACTTTTATGCTCTTCATAGAGTTGCATTAAAATATCGATGTCCTCATTTTCTTCAACAGCTTAATTGACTACTTCAATTGTTTAAGCCATTTCATGAAGCTTCTCTTTGGCTTGTTTAAGAATCTCTTCCTTTGTTTTTTTGCCAAATAAATCCATTCTTTGCTGTGCCTTCTTTTGCTTGTTGCTTTCTCCACTCTTCTTAAAGAATCCAAAGCTCTTTGGAGGAGGAGATTAGTTTTGTCTCTCTTAAGATTCTCCTCTTGACATGCTCATTGACTTGTTTCTGTATACTTGATGAATTCTATCTTTTCTGCATCTTAGTTTCAAATCTTTGAGCATGTGATGAAGCTCACTTCTTTTAATATCCAGTTTGCCATAGTCAAGTAAAAAGCTTATTGATTCACTATCTAGATAGTTAGGCATATCAGCTAGATTCACATCATTACCTAGGTGCCAGATGGCTTTGATAATCCAAATTAGCCCGTCCTTTCTTGAATCAATTCCCTCTTTTAATAGCTTTTGATAATGCTCAACTTATTCAGCCTTAGTTGAATTGATATCTTTTCTTATTTAGTCTACTTCATATTCGAACATGTGTATTTGATTAACATTGTTTTGAATTCTCTCATTACATTTAGCTATCTTTCCATTAATTTTTTCTTTTTTTTAATTCAGCTGGTCTCTAACAGCCTTCATTTTCATAAAATCTTCAACCTTCCCAGTAGCTCTCTTTGATCTCATCAGATTTGGTGAAATTTTAGATGTCCTTGACCCATCTGTTAGCCCATCACTGAAATACTAACTTTGCATTTCCTATTCAGCTCTTATTTAAAGTAATTTCTATTAATCAATCAATTATGAGATTGGATAAGCTTACCTAACCATACTTAGACTTGATTATTTCTGACAAGTTGCAATTTTCAATTCTTAGCGATTCAAGTTTCTACTTCATTTCATTCATTTTTTCTTCTAACTTTATGATTGTGTACTATAGTTTGACCTCCACTGTTGTATTTCTCTCTTTTATCTCCCACATTTACTTTTTGGACAGTGGCATGATTATTGGTTCATCTTCCATATAAGTAAATTTCCCAGGCGAGAACTACTAATTTGTAGTATTTAAGGAACTATCATTATTGTTAAGGAATTTACTATTCTAAGTTCCCAACATCTAGTCATTTCCTTATATCTGAGTATCAGTTTAATCGTTTATCTATATCAGAGGTTATAATTTCTTATTCAAAATGTTCGCATGGCTTTCACTAGCTTTAAGATTTCTTGGTTATGAAGGACTCAATGCTGATGATCTTAACTCAGTAGCATTTTTAGATAGTAGTTTTGAATCTAAAGCCATTAGCTTTATAGACTTTCCTGGTTAGAACATTTCTGATTTTTGCTTTAAAACACTCTTCAGTTAAAAATTGGTAGCCTCTAAAATTTCACTTTGCTAGATAAGTTTATTCTTCAGCATCATGTCTGGATCTAGTAGAGTTTTGTCATGCTATATCGCTTGCTTATAATCAGATCCTATTTATTTGAATGATTGAAATTTTACCCTCATTTTTTTTGAAGTCAATCTTTTTAGTAAACCAATTATCTAGTTCTAGAACCTTAGACTTTTCAAAATTGGCCAATGAGTTGATAGTATTTGCGTAGTTCTAGCTACTCTTAGTCAGGTAAAAGAATCCATAATTCTTGTAGTAGTCTGCGACAGAGCTTGTTCTCTTGATAGATTTCTAAATATCCCCATCACTAAAATATCTTTAAGAAGATCAATTTTACTTACAGTTCACTTTCTAGTTGATTTTATTTTGCTTAAGCTCTCAGAAATTCATCACTATACTAACAATATTTAGTTGTATGTGGCATACTAGCAACCATCTCATTGGTGGTAGACAGTGATGGTTACAATTTCAATTTTGACAATGGCTTTTTATTTGGAGGATGAGCAATATTGTAATACGTCTTTTGAAGTACTTCAATCGAGTTTTGCATCAATGAAGAATCGAAAGCTGGAACTCTTGGCTTATTATTAATGTTGATCTTAGTGAAAGGGAGTTCATCATCCTTTATTCTTATGTTTTTACTCACTCTGTAAACTCCTTCTGGCTTGCTATGACTCTAAGGGAAGTAGGTCTTACTCATCATTTGTTTCTAATTAGAAATATCCATTTTTGTTCACACTGTTTTATTTATATATTACAGACACTATTATTAATGAAAAGAGAATAATTTATAAGCAATTTTAGTCTAGCGGGGTTTTGGGGTTTTGGGG